AATATATATATATAATTGATAAAATTAATAAATTAATAAAATCAATAAATATTGCAAGTATTAATATAGTTGAATATATTAATTATATATTGTTTATATCTGTATTTTATTGATAACAAAGTAGCAAACAGCAAAAAAAAAATTAATAAAAATATTTTCAATATATATCTTAATTATATTCAATTGTATTTTTTAATTTTTTTAATTATATGCTTAATTTATATCTATATGGGTAATTATTTTTGAAGGCAGACCAGAAATTTTCTAGCGTGATCCTAAAATTTATATTATATATGTATTGTTTAAAAGTTGGATTTGAAAAAATCATATTTAGTATTTTTATTGCCTTCAAAAATAATTACCCATATATACAATCTTGATAAAAAAAAACTAGAATTAAAATTTTTTTTATAAATTAATAATTATTTATTCAAATTAAATAAAAATATAAATATATATTTATTAGAATTTAGAAATAAAAATATTAAAATTTTATTGATGATTAATTAATAATTAATAATTTTATTGTAAAATATTAATTTAAAGTTATTTAAAAAAAATTTTTTTAAAAATAATAACTTTTTACTAATAAAATTAGGGTTAGGAAGTATAATTTTTATTATGACAAATTTTTTAAAAAATCCAATTATAAAATCAAAAAAAATTTTTGGTTTATAAAAAATTTATAAAAAATTTCTTATTATACTGTATATAAACAATTTTATTAAATTTATATAATTTTTTATTTTGTAAAATAAATTCTAAAAAAATTTTAAAATATCAAAAAAGTTAATTTTACTATAAAATCATAATTTTTTAGTTAATAAAAAAATTATTAAATTTTTTTTTTATAATTTTATATATCTTTATTTAATAAATTTATATATTAAATTAATTGAAAAAAAATTTTATTATATATTTTTTATAATCAATTTAATATAACATTTTTTTTTAAATTAAAATTTAATAATATTAACAATAATATTTTTTAAAAAAATTTCTAAATAAGTTTATTCTTTATATTTTCAAATATACATATATATTATATTATTTTATTTTATTAACTTTTTATTAAATTAGTAATAAAAATATATAAGAATCTAATTTTAGTTTTTTTTTATTAGGACTACTATATATATTATAAATTTACAATATTGTTAGTTTTAAAAAAAAACTCTTTTCCATAATATTTCAATTTATAAAAAAAAATTTTTTTAATAAAAACCTGAATGGTAAATAGTAAACAATTAATAAAAACTTTTTACTAAAAAAGAAATGCATTTTCATTTACTGTAGAGTGTATAGGATTGATTAACTTTTCATAGAGAAGTGGATACTTTAGGAGTAGTAAAAATCTCTTTAAACAAATCCTTTATTTTACCAAATAAAATCTATATAAGCAATCTTTAAATAAAAAAAACCTTTTTACTTATTTCTATACAAAACATATTAAAAACATTATATAAATATTATTTTTTTTCAAATATCTATATATATATTAAGAGACAATATTTTATTTTTTCAGAATTTTTGTTTTTTGTTAATAATAACTAATATCAGATTAATTGATATAACCTTCTGGCTAGTTATCAGTTCTTGTCTATTCTCATATACAAAAAATCAAAATCAGTTTATTTCATCAAAAGATTTACAATACACAAAATACCAATAATATTTTATATTACCCAATTATATCAAAACAACACAATAACTTACTGAATTGGGAGAACACATGATCGGTATCATGCATGGGTTTTAGTAAAAACAATACATTACACTTTATTAAAACAAAACAACAAATATTTGAAACATATAAGTTCTAGTAATCCTACTATTAACATCATAATCTGACTTAAATTATACTATAGCAATATATCTCAAAAACCTACATGACCAAACTAATCAAATTATTTGTAGTTTGTGCAATACTACTATCTGACTGAAACAACTAATTGTATTCAGAAACCATATCTAACAAAAGTTTCAATATTATTTTTGACCTTTTTCTTTTCTTTATTGATTTCATTACATTATAGTGATCTTGTTTAAATATTTTTTTATTTTTTATTTTTCATAACAAATAGTTTTTCAAGTTTTTCTTACTCAAAGATTTTTCAGATAATATATCTGTTAAATAAGTAATAGGCTAATATCTATATTAATATAACTTATAACTTAATATTAATCATGTAACTTTTACTCTATTAATAAAAATAATAAGTATGTCTTACTTTAACATTAAAAAAAAAAACAATATTGTTAGTTTTTAATAATTATAATAATTATAAGACTAAAGTTACAAATAAACAATTATATATTTAACAATTATAGTTTTAATATAAAAAGTTTTAACAATTATAGTACTAATTTTAGAATTTTAATAATTTAAAATCTACAATACTATAATATATATATTTATAAATTAAAAGTTTTTTTTGTTATATATTGAATAAATTAAATTATTGAGAATTAAAAATTATTTTTATTGGTAATTTTGAAGTCTGTTAAAGGAAAAACAAAAGTTTCAATATATTTAATTGTAAATTTTATCTTTTTTTGATTTTTTTTTATATTTCATTAATTATTTTCTTTTATTCTTTTTTATTTGTTTTTATTTTCTTTTATTTCATAGAAACATCCTTTTCATTGCAAGTTTAAATTGATATTATTCTTATTTTACTCTTCCAAGGCAATAACAATATAAAATTTATTTGTCTTGTTATAATATTTTAAACTTTTTTTATGACATGTTTTAACTATTTCTTTTATATTTGATGCAATATTTTTATTGCCAATAATATTTTTTAAATAATTAATCAAAACATTATATAAATATTAAAAAAGATTATTAAAAATTTTGTATATAAAATATTATTAAAATTATATATTTAAAAAAAAATTTTTCAAAAAAAATTTTTTAATAACTTTATATATAAAAGTTATAATATAAATTTATTATTAAAAAAATAGGTTTTCACTTTTAATAAAGTTGAATCAATAATTTTATAATGATAAAATTATTTTGTTTATATTTAAAAGTTTTTAATAAAATATTTTATTTTTAACCTTTACAATTTTAAATAACAATTTCTTGTATAATAATTTTTTTAATTATCAAGATAAATAGTAGATAATAAAATCTTTTAATAAATTAAAAATTACTGTACTGTATATAATATTTATATTTATTGTTTTTTACTTCAAGTATTTTATATTATTTTTATATCTTTTATCTTATGTAATAATACTTGATATACTTGATATACTGTATATATATATTTGATATATTTAATATACTTTATATACTTAATATATTTGAATTTTATATGAACTTATATATTATTGATGAATTGCTTAAAAATCAATAATAATAATAAATATTTTTTATAATTAAAAAATTTTTAAGAAAATTTTTGTATCATATTCCAAATCCATAATAATTTTTGGTATTAACAAAAATTAAAAAAAAAAAAAAATTCTTTTTGAAAATATTGTATATATACAGTATATAGATTAAATCATTAAAAACATATGCGCATATTAGATGCTGATTAGTTTAAATGATTTGATTAATAAATATATTTTTTGCAAACGTACATGTGAATTCTAGATGTGATATACAGTATATTGATCATTAAATTTCAAATAAATCTCTTCGTTTCGATTTATTAAAAGAATTTCACAGAAATCATATTTATTTTAATTAAATCATGCAACCTTATTTTTGATGTATCAATGAGCCCCTGGTAGTTTCTGACAAAATGTCGTTGTCAAGCATGTATAAATCATAATAAAGCTGTATTGACCTCACGAGCCACTGGAAAATCTCCTGAACGCCACAAAACAAGTCGGATCTGTATCCCGTATCCTGGAACCATGACCCGAAAACCCCAAAAATCAGTTGCAGGCAGTCAATTTCGCGTCACTCGGAAATTTGACGATTGCGTAACGACATGTAACACAAAAAATAAACGGAGCCTTAATAAATGATAGTACGAAAAAAAGAAAAAAAAGTTTTTTTTGTAATAAATTACCTATTAAGTGCTAATCAACGCCACATTGAACTAAAATGTGATTTATCGTAATTCATTAGGGATTTCATTTGATTAGGTGATTGATTAGGAAATCTAATAGGATATGATCTAATTAACATTAATATTTAAAAACGAATGAAGCCTCACGCTCGAACTAAAAGTACTACAGTAAATTAAAGATTTAGAAAATAAAGTTTTTGAAAGAGACGGGTCAGTGAACGCGCGGAAGATTGATATACACAAATAATGAGTAGTGAACCACACGGATTAGTCTCCTTTATTTGAGAATGGTTATGGTTTATAGTGCCGTCGAAGCTAATAAAATACGAAATTTGTTTATATTAAATAAAGAAATTAAGCGGTATAAAAGCAAATATCCGTAGAATTCGGTATTATTACATAATGAGATCGAACCGTTAAAGGAGGACGGAGCAAAGGTCTGAGTAATTGTAAACGCAAAAAAGTAAAGCACGAGAATGTTGAAACGACAATCTCATCGACCTTTTCTTTTTTTTTTTTTTTTTGATAGTATTTTTTAATGATAATGTCATGAACGGAAAAACGTCAACAATGGCGGAAGGGATCTGTTCGGTACAAGAAAAAATTTCTAAGAATTAGAAAGAAAATTTTAATATATTAGACAGAGCAATTCATCAAACGCCTAGCAAATAATAATACAAGCTGTAAATAAAGTTCAATTGGAAATTTGCGATTCATTAATGCTTTCAATGCAATAATTTCTCTTCGACATTTCAGCTGCATCCTTCATTCTCGTAATTATCAAACGGAGCATTCTACATTACACACTACATGTCAAATATAGTATTTGCATATCGTAGACATGCATGTGTGATCCGTGCTAACTTAAAGTTTACTACCTTACTCATTATAATACCATAACTTAACTAGCATGCATCCGCGGAGATCATTAAAAGAACACATGTATTCTTAATAACCCAAATTTATTTAATCCGAATTTGTTGTTTCATGATCATTCTGCTTCTAATGCCGATGAAAAAATTATGTCTTCCATTTCAGAATCCTTGTGTTGACTTTTTTTTTTTTTTTTTTTTTTATCTCACTTCATCAGTATTGTGTTTCGAAAATCCATGGTCCCTTTTTTACGTAACAAGGACTCTTTCACTTTTTGCATTCTCTAGTTTATATTTCATAATGCATGATGTATGAGCTATTATCAGGCGATTCGCGATCAAACCTACATGGAGTCGTTGGGTAATATGTGGCTTTATTGATCTAAATAACTAGAAAAAAAAAAAAAGAAAAGATATCGAGCACTAAATTTGTCCTAATCCTAATTCGGTTCCGGATAAACACTCGGAAATCGTAAATTATATTAAAAATAAAAATAAAAAAAATAAAAAATGATACACAATCGAAAACAAACTGAGGACCTGTAATCTAGACCAAAAAACGTGTTTCCAGTCATCCTCGCGATTAAATACACGCATTTTAAAAAGCGTGCTTTTCAAATAAAAAACAAAAACAAAAACAAAACAAAACAAAACAATAGGCAAATAGAAATCATTTGCCATTTGATAACAATTACAATTTGTTTATACTTATCACACGTCGGTTAGACTCGTTTGGATCTTTCCCTATCACACGCCTGACTGATGACCGATTGATAACACATACCTGCGTTAAGTATGGTCTCATCTCAATAAGTTTTTTTTACAAAAGAATGAGTTACAAAACGCGGTAAACAGAGCTAAGAAAGAATAAGTAAATATATGAGATGGGTTTCATGTTATGTAGGAATTGAAAATATGCGTGCAATCGGAGCATTCGAGAATCGATGAATGTAAATTCGGATACCGCCACTGATGTTATTGAATTAGGACCCTACCGGAAGTTGGAAAATACGATATAAAAATAATAAGAATCGAACGGTAAAGACTGATTCGTGAATCGAGGACACGAGGTGATCAAATCAGGAAATTACTATGGAGGCTGGGTGGAATAATGAAATCAAATTTAGGCGAAGATTATTGTGAATGTAAAAAAAAAAAAAGAAATTGGAATTCTGGAAATGTTCACACTACTTCCGTGGCGTCCTCCCAGACAATTACGTAATCCATGTCAGCAAACCCAAAATGAACGGGGAACGTGATAAGTTTTGAAATTTATCACGTTTAAAGATTTCTGTAGGAAAAAAAATGAGCAGCGGAAAATAAAGGACATTTCACCTATAAAATTCAAGAAACAAGTTTTAAGTATGTATGCGTGTTCAATCATTTAAAACTTAAATTAATGAATTTAAGTAAATTAGGTTAATCGGTGTATTATTAAATCGAATCGGGTTAGATTCCCATTCGAGGCATTTGAAAATACTACGTATGTGTGTACATGACCAAAATCAATTGATAAAAACCAGATCATCTTACAACCTTGACACAAAAATGTGGCTTAGACTGAAACTGGATCTAGGACTATGGTTACGAGAAAACCTAGTTTGTTTTTCCTGAGGTTAGAATTATTGTAATACACGGAGCGAAAACACTTGACGGGATAATGTATTTACGTGACCTTCCTTCGATTTCAACAACAATGTCATATGACTTTCGACAACGGATTACGACGTGTCTGTTGATCGTACTACATGCACCAAATTTTTACATTTTAATTAACATTCATTTAGCTAAGTTGACAATTGTCTTACATGCATATGATCTATTTGTGTATTATCTTCGACCAATGAGTACAAATAGCGTAAAAGAATCATTTGTACCTCAATTAAAAAAAATGAAATGCATGAATTTGGAATCAAAGAATATACGTAGAAGAATCGATAAAAACGGTAAATGACAATGAGAAATCCTTTTTTTGACACATTAATGTTGTACCTAACCGAATAATGATGTTCAAAGATCATTTTATCCGTTATGTCGCGGTACATTGATTATATATTATCCTGAAACAACAGAAAGTCACACTGCTCCACCTGAAGTGTGACCATCAAAACCTTATTCATTATGGCATCATCAAGATCTCGCGCAATCGTTTTCCCTGTCTACTCGCCATGCTGTTCAGGTTCTTTTTAATTGATTGGAGCATCTTCACATTAATATTTGCTTACGTTTCTTTTGTAGAATTCTTGGTCTGATTTATCAAAAGAAATGCTGGATGGTTCATATTTGCTAAGCTCTTATGTTTACCACATCCCCTGTACACTGCACTGTTTCGACATAAATCGGAGGAAAAATCTCCAATTGAAGGTGATACACACTACGCCAAATAAAGAAATTTGCCTAAGAAACCATTCAAATTCAACGCTTCAAATCAAAAACAGATGATGACGATAAATCGAACAAACCTTCCTATTATAGTATATCGATTGCAATTACTTCTTTGGAAAGTAAGGAAAGAAAGAAAGAAAGAAGGAATTTGAGAATCTGGTAATTGTTTAAAATACTATTATTCCCTGTTTTTCGATAACCCACCTACTTCTTAAATTTCCTGTAACGTCTCTGTTATATTGTCATCTCCATAAATGTGGTCTCTTTTCGATTACCTCAAATTACTCAAAAAAGTATTGTTTACGATTATCAAAACTGCAAATAATAATGTTCATTAAATAGACATTGGTTTTGAAAAAATAGTAAACCACGATTTTTTAATAGTTGAGAATTGTTTATTTATTTGCTGTATCTATTTTATTTATTTCTTAAATAAAAATTAATAAAAACATATGCAATCTATCTGTATAACTAAAATTAGCAATTATCATTACAACCATGCAAGAAACAACCAAATCCTGTTATAGCAGACGATTTAAATGTTTTTTTAAGACCTTGTTATGGGAACCAACAGTTTTCTAAGAAAATGCATCGAAACTTGACGAATATTATGATGAGACGAGGTTTTTCTTTATCCAGGTGATATAATGCACTCAAGACTTAAAAAAAAATTTGTTTATTATTGTTATTATTATTATTATTATTTAATAATAAACAATTTCAACTTGAATTTTTCATTGAACCCATATTTGATTCTAAATAATTTTTTAAAAAATAATTAACACATTAAAATTTTATCACTTAACGAACATAGCGGGCTTTACTGTGATTGGTTAAAATTTATTGATCTAATAAAGTCTTATTAAAGTAATGATTTTCTGTCACAAGAATAAATTCACAGCTTTAAATACAAATTTACAAGAATAAAACAAATACTGTAAATTTAGAAAGAAATATAGTCTGTTTTATAGATTGTCAAAGTAATTTGATATTTGTAAAATAATTCAAAAGTTAAATAAGAAGCATTTTACAATATACTTATTGTAATAACTTTGATATAAGACTTTATTAATTAATTTAAATATAAAATTTGATATAATGATTCTATTAGTCATGATTGAAATATTATACTATTTACAATTACAAATAATATTGTTATTATAATTTTCTTTTTTTAAAAAAAAATAAGTTTTATAATAACTTTTTATATCAACATTTTATAAGTATTGATTTTAATATATATTAATATTTTTTATATAAAATATTTTATTTAATCTAAATTATAATTATTTTTATTTATATTATTATAACAAAAATATTTTTTATATTATTATATATTATTATAACAAAAATATATATTATTATTATTATATATTATAATAACAGAAATCTAATACTATTGTTATAAGTGATAATCAAAATTTTTTAAACAAATATAATTTTTATTTAATTAATCATATTTTAATAATTACTTAAAAAAATTTAATAAAATTTGTTTATATATATTTGAAATTATAAAGAACAAGTTTATTTAATAATTATTTGTATAATATACTGTATTATTAAAATTTTATTTGAAAAAATTTTTTAATTTTAAAAAGTTTATAAAAAATTAATAAAATCATTTTATATCATAAAATAAAAAAATATAACATATAATATAATTTATATATTATAAAAATTTTGATAAAATTTTTTATATCAAATAATTTTTTTTTAAATTTTAAATTAATTTTTTAAAATCTCTTGTATTAAACCTTGCTCACAAGAAACATTGGGAGTATTATTCTCAGGAGTTGAGAGCAACTCTTGATCTCGAAGTTTCTTCTCCTTAATGCTCTGAATTATTTCTTTGCTAATCTGCGCCTTATGCGTTGAATCCAGGAATTAATTTTCTTTCAAATGACTTGGGCTTAGCTTTTCACTGACTTACACTGATATTATCTTTCCTATCAAAGTAATAGTCCTCGTTAGGTGGCGGGATAGATTATTGGAGGGTTATTAATAATGGTAGACTGGTTGGAGAGTGCAAAATATCTTCTGTTCCATGTAAGTGGCTTTGCTCTGCAAAAGAAGGCATACCCTGTGTGCTAGTAATTACTTGGGTTTGCCGTTTGAGTTTCTCAAAACCGTGTCTTAATTTAAACTTCAGCTTTAAGATCAGTATTCTCAGCTTCACGTTTGGCATTCTCCTCCATAACCTGTCTCAATTTCGTATTCTCCGCCTCAAGCTCAGCAACTCGTTGTCTTAATAAATTAATTTCGGATTGCATGTTCGATGATAACTTTTTATAAGATGTAGATTTATTCAAAATGTTTATAGCAGAGCTAGTGTCTCTGACACATAATATATAATAGCGAAATGACAAAAAAATATAACATCGACTCATATGTGCGAGTTACACGAAAATTCTGCTTTTCTCAAAATAAACCAGAATTATTCTGAAAATTTCAGCGAATATTGTGTGACCGAAAATTTCTGAAAAGCAAAAAACGCGTCACGCCAAGCACTTTCGCCAAGAAAAGTTCCGCTTTCTTGGTAAGAAAATCCGAATGATTCTGCGTTCCGTTTTAGAACGCCGTTCACTCTTGCCAGGGCGAAACCCATTGTTCCACAATAGAAAAATATATGACCATGACTGACACGCGATCGTGATTTATACTTGCATAGTAGAAATGGTTTTATGAGTTTATCAGACTAGTTACGCTCGTGTATCTCGGATTTGTGCATCTCAGAGACGACCCCAAATAAATCATAATACGCTCATTATCACGCGTAAAAAATTTCATTGTTTATTAATAAAAAATAAATTGCAAAATCAGACACGGCCCATAATCATCGCATCATTTACTCTGGTTCGATATGCACGAAGGAATTGGTTTCAAATTATCAAGAAATCCAGTACAATTGGATCAGGGAGAAGTTGTCGGTGAGTTGTAGCATCGTAATACAAACAATCGAAGGAATGTTGATGACACATTGGCCTGGTTGAATATTTGTCGGGTTCCCATCTTTGTCATGGATACCGAATTCAAATTAACAATTAAACGTCAGGTTAGAAATTTGACGCAATTATAAAAAAGGGGAATATTCTTTGTTTATGACATTACATAAGTCCGAGGCTGGATATCCATTGATCTTCTGACTCTGTCCCTGGCACAAAAGTGCCATACCTGGTAGGTTAAATTCTTTAAAATGACTGGCAGACAATGTGTACTTTAGGAATACAACTTGCTTGCATCCGTAAAGGATATTGATCTTCTTCAGGAGGTTTATCAATCTTAACCACGATCGCGTCGTGGACACGACTCCAATTGCGTAGCCAGAAATCTTTCAATTTTTCAAGAACATGTGATTCAATCTCAGAATACACCACTCCAATGACGATATTTGGCCAGGGCTCGCCCTAAATCGTGAAAACATGAAATCTTGTTTCTGAAAGGTTCCGAGTCAATAAAATAATGTATCTTTCCATCATTCCCATTTGGTAGTCTCACTCGTGGTTTTTCAGGGCGAAAAGATGCATCCCCATCTTTCTCAGAATCGTCGGCGCGAGTTCCTTAAGAAGAACAAAGATTTGTTTGATATTACAAACATAAGGCTGGGACAGTTAATGAATTGATATTTACGAATTGCGCCAGAAGGTATGATACTGCCATCAGTTCCAAACACAGGATCGCATTTCCTTAAGAACATATAAGAGGTTGTACCAATAAAAGTTTCGTGTGGTTTTGATGGCAGTTCATAAATTATAACATCGCCGTTAACCCATTTCCAATATCCATGGATGTTAACTTATCAGTCTTGATACGAATAGCAAAAATTGACTTATATCTTACTAGATCATAAGATAGCGAGTCAACTTCAAAACAAGTTAGGAAAGTGACTCAGCTACTTCTTCCAATTTTGCTTTTGGATTGAAGTCGCCTTTTTCCCACCACAGGGTTCGATAATAATGGTACTCTGTCATTCTTTTTGGAATAACAACAACAGTCTCGCTAAAGAATAGCTCTGGAAAGTTAGCTGAAAGATTAGAGAAATAATAGTTACACATAATAACCCTATTAAAAAAAAAAATAATAATTTTCTTGTAATTTCGGATATATTTATTTACACAGGGCCTTCACGACTCCGCAGTGCACTTACCAAAAATGGTAATGAATAATATACAGTACATTAAAAAATACTTTGCGTAAATTAGCACTATCAGATTAAATACAGTAAATTACATTCCAATATTTAGACTCGGAAGAATAAGTTACCGAGTGCCTAATTTAAACCGGATAGGAGTAAACTTTAAATGTATTTATCGACTTCCACCGTGTATGTTATTTAATAGATTGCCCAGTACTTTCTTCTACTGAGTATAAATTTTATT